GCACCGAGATCGACAACTATGCGCACCTCCTAGAGCAAGCGCGCTCTACAAAGGAGGAAGATCTTCGCAAATTCGAAGCTCTCGAAAAGGAGTTGGAGACTCTCGTGGAATCCAAGAAGCAGCACCTTGCAGAAGCCGACACCCTGCGCAAAGCGCTCCAAGATGTCCAGGCTAAGACGAAGGCCGACGAGCAGGCGACAACCGATCGCTTCACCGACGAGCTTAAGTCGACCGCCGACCTTCTCGCGAAGGAGACACAGAAGAACACGGCTCTGAACACCATGATAAGCCAGTTGAAGGGAGGCGAGAGCACTGCTAGACTCGAGGCCGAAAAGGCAAAGAAGGAAAACAGGGCTCTGAATGAGCGCTACAGCAACCAGGCAGCTGAGCATGGGAAGGCATTCGCGGTAAGTGGCTTTGACATAACAAGCAACTTAAGTGCAGGTTGGACTAATATGTTATTAGAAACTCAACGAGCAGACCAAGCAAGCTGAAGGCCTGAAGATCGACCTTGGTGGTTGCCAGAAGGAGAACGCCGAGCTGAAGCAGCGTCTCGTCAAACTCGCCGACCTCGAGTCCCAGGTTACCGAACTCATGCGAGCAAAGTCGACTCTTTCCGAACAAGTCAGCACTCTCAGCGCCGATTTGGACGCCAGGAAGAAGGAAGAAGCCAAGACCAAGACCCAAGTGGAGGGGCTTCTGAAGAAGCTCGAGGGTCTTGACGATGAGGTTGACCAGCTAGAATCGGAGAATACCGAGCTTCTCACCAAGCAGAAAGAGCATAAGTTTACCGTACAGACCTGCGAGTCCCTCAAGGAGGAGAACGCCAAACTCAAGGCCGATATCAACGAGCTCAAGGCCTCCAAGAGCCCCACTTTCGCTGTCGGTGGCTCTCCGTCTTTCATGAACGAGGAGAAAGCACGTGCTCGCGAGGACAAGATCAAAGAGCTCGAGGGGACCGTGCTAGAATGGACTGAGCTGGCTAAGCGCTCCTACAGCGAGTACAAGGAGATGCTACCCACCTACAAGAAGGCCGATCAGTACCGCCAGGAGGTCGTTGACAGGGACGAAGTCATTCGGGGCCTGGAGCTCGAGCTTACTCAAGCCAAAGTTTCCAAGAAGACTAACGGTGTTGGAGCTGCTGCGCCTAGCAGCGATGTTCTCTACTGGAAGAACAAGTATGAGGCTGTTCTGCTTGCCGTTGACAACTAGGCGCTAGCTTTGGTCCAAGCCCAACTGAAAAGCGGATGAGGATTGCGACGGAAAGTGGAGTGCCAGAGTATGTCGATATGCTTGACTGAGATAGTCCCTTTATATGACATCAAGACATAGCCGGTACAACAAAAATAAGATACTGCCATGATGGAATCTCGCTACTTGACATTGAAGACCACCAAAGAGGTAGTGCAGCCTACATTGGTATAAAAGTGAACGTTTCTAACACCCCAGGGCAATGTAGTCTCCTGGGTAAGTTCCATTGCTAGCTAATCGCAACATGGGCCAAGAACAGTAACAGGTGCGCTGCGATTATGTTACTGTCAAAACCAGAGATGTTGAAATGCTAAGGTAACGCAGACTTCTTGATGATTTCTATTGCGAACTGATTATGACGTGCACCTAGAACAACAACAAGTGCGCTTCGGCATACATCAGCAGAAACGCGACCGTACTCACAGTGACAAGGCAATGCAGACTCCTGGGTAACTCGTATTGCTATCTAATCATAAAATAGACTCAAGGAGACAACAGGTGCGCTGCAGACTACATTGGTATCAGACCCGAAGTTTACCAAATCCCAAGGCCATGTATACGTCTGGGTTATTCCTACTGTCTTTTAGAGAAGGGAGGTAGCGGCATACTCATATCGAAAAGCATACACACAGCGCAGGGATGTAAGCTGACTGTTGAGGGACCGGAGGTCTGAATCTGCACTCCCAGGAGACCTCCTTCCTTTTCAAAATGCAGTACGCGACGGCGGGAAAGACATTATCGCGTGTTGCGCAATATTCCCGGGGTTTGGTAGCGTATGTGAACGAGAGCTCGACGTGGATGTCGTTGCGAATGAATAGGGATCTTGTCTTTGGTGAGGTGTTGATAGTCTCCCGTCGGCGTTGTGGCCCGCTTGGGTGATTCCGGGGTCAGCCGCCGTAGGACTACGATGGCCGGCGTCTCAAAAAGCCTTGCAGATTCTTACTCCAAGCTTCCGTAGATGTACAGGCCGACGAGCCAGGGTTGCCAGGGTTGGCTGTACATATGCGCCCAGCGCCTACTGACGTGTGCTATACACGGGTCACTGAGTCCGTCTTCCAATGCCTCTCCCGTTACTTTCCCGATTTCTTTTCCCGTTGCTTTCCCCATTCTCTCACCCCCTTGTTTGGAGGTCGGCTCGCTGAATCCATAGCCATATAATACTCCGACGGCTAGAAACGTTATACTGGGGGTGAACAGTAGAGCGAGGATTGAGTATCTGCGGATGTTGGACTCGGGCTTCTTGACCTTGGATGTGTATCGATACCTAATTTTCCATGGGGGCGAAATAGAAGGGGTGATTCGAGGTGTTGGTCTTTGGAAGCGGGGTGGTGAGTTCTTTGGTGATGCTACAGTCTGCTTGTACGGGCCTAAGGACTGGATAGACGATCGGAAGCCGCGAGATAGGGTGAGGCTCCTTCTTGAGAAGGTGGATGGCCTTGCAAATGTACAGAAGAGTGACATTATTGTTGAACTGGTGGCATGACTGGTTGTGAAGCGCAGTGCGCTTGCCGGCGTTAGACATGGAACCATCTTGCTGAACTGTGTATGCCAGGACCTGTTGTTGAATGTAGCTGTGAATCGTGTTCTCCTTTTTGAGATGTGAGAGGAGATTTGTTGCGCGATGGTGACTGCGCGATAATTCTAGATTTATCATAAAGAAATAGTACTGCAAAATCCCTCCCTTGGTTCGCCAGAGGTATGCAGTGGTAGTACCCATCATCGCGTAACCATGGGTAGCTTCGCGAACCTCGTCGTATCCGCCAATGATGTCGGTTCTATTGCAAGACGGAAACACAACTACTTGCAGAAGATCCGCTCATGTCTGCGATATGTTTTCAAAACAAGTTGGATGGAGCCAGGCGACTACGAGTGCGGATACCTAGGTATGGTGAGGCCCAATCCTCGTAGGGCGTGGCTGCCCATGCGAACGTTGATTTAAACCACCCAACGAATCTCGCTCAGCCTTCTCAAGTCGCAAGAGCACGCGCCCTCAACCCCTTTAACAGGGGATGCTTGCTACATTGAAGATCATGTCCATCCACCCAAATCTACAACCAAGAGATCGATCTGAGGTCGGCTAATAGACACGTTTTGCCGACAAAATTTTCCAAGCACGGACGAGCCAATCGCATCCGAGGACTTCGAGGAGGCACTGGCATGCCGCTTGGACGGCGATGCGCACTTGGCGAAACGGGTCTCTAACGGTGTCGAAGAAGGAGCGAGCCCTAGATCAACTCAAGATCTGGCGAACTAGATGAATGCAATTTCTCAATCTGAACTCGATATGCGCCTGCGTGTAGTTTGTTCTGGTTCCTTTAGTCTTGGGGTTCACGGCGGTTGCGCTACATCGAAACCTGAGATTGCGCGCCGTTGGGGCGTTACAGGACGTCGAACTATCGCGAAGTGGAGGGAGTAGGAAAAAAGGAACGAGCATCTTGAGAAATTGCACAGCAAGTGAGATAAGAGCGAGAGAGAAGGAACGCCGCTATACATGCCCGATTGTTTTCGCTTGGAGGTGTGGGTAATGAGGAACCATCATCGCGCAACCTTCATTTGCGAATTCTCTAAAGTCATCCAGCATCTCTCCTCCTATACTGCTAACCGATGTGTTTGTTATAGCATGGTATGTCGGAAATAGAGAAGAAAAAGGGAGGTGTTCGTCGCGCGCACGATCGAATGACGTCCTCGTTCATGCGCCCGGATATGCTTTACCCGTTTCGAAACAGCGCATCGGCTACTGACCCGGCGCCTCTCAATCTGAAACACTTCTTTCCCACCCCTTCCCTCGCGATTCATCGATTTCGTGTCCAACTCTGCGAAGAAACCCAACAGCAGAGTCTGCGCGCTGGGGATGCCAGTCATTACCGGTCGGCATAACTGCGGCTTCCCGGGCCTACCCATTCCGTACCACACGCTCGGCGCAGTTGAGCTGGTGTTTGCAATGCATCGATTAATATCGAGCCGCCCCCCAAGGATTATCGTAGTTGTAATTCTCCGCCAGTACACGGACGCAGTGGCGTCTTCAGCACGTGGCCTGTTTCGAGCGACGTTGGAACGACTTTGGAACGTTGCGCACACCCAGGAGAAGCAAGCACGGTCGCGGCATTTGCCATGTTTCGCACATCTGTGCGACGTTGTCCCACTGTGTGGCAGCTATCTCAGTAGCCATGACCATCGCTGATCTGAATGTCGTCAAACCACCGCTTAAAGGGCACTGAGCAGCTTCTGCTTGCTTCTCCCAAGTGTACTAAATGACGGAGCCCTTCCGCGTCAGCACAAGCCATGGGAGGCTCGCCTACTAACGTCTATCTCAGTTAGCAAACACGAGCTTCCCCAGGATACATCGGAAGATACAGCTGTTATCGTGCGACGGCGCCCGGGGCTTGCCCACTACCGGCATAGTGGTTCCACCAACCATCCTTCGAGATGGGACTCATTTCAAAACCTCCGAGTCTGGAATGTCAAGCAGATTGTCGCTTGCTGGGCTGTGATCGATGCTAACAACAGGAAAGCCCTGGAATCCTTGCACGGGGATGCGCAAATGTCATCTAGACCTCGTGCCGCTTCGCACTTTACGGCGTTTCTTGTTCGTCGTTTCTTCCACCCACCACCCCGGTCATTCAGTGTAGAGTGCCGGAGGCATTCGTTCTTTCGTTTCTTAACTTTGTCGGTCTGCGACTACATCTCACTCTTTACGGTTTCCTTCATTTCGCTTCTATGCCGCATCCCGTTCCGACCGCTGGGAAAACATGATCCGCCGGAACCACGATGATTCGGGTCACCACTACGTGGATCCTTCGCTCGAGTTGAACATTGGGCTATGGGCGTTGTTTGCTGGTGCATCACTCTTCCTGGCGCTCCGGATATGGATCAAAGTCACACGTCGCCACGGTCTCTGGTGGGATGACCACATCCTCCTCGTTGCATGGGTAAGGCACCTGTTGGGCTTACAGATAGTCGTAGCTGATGGTGTAACAGGTCTTACTTGCTGTCAACAACGCCATCATCACAACCGAGTATGCCACAGGCTATGTGACCGACACATGGGACGATCGAATGCACATACTCATCAACATTACTTCCTGTGGAACACTGATCAACCAATCGCTCACCAAAACTGCCTTCGCCGTCACTTTGCTCAAGCTGACTAAGAACTGGGGCCAATGGATACTATGGTTCATCATTGGCAGCATGAATGCATACATGATTGCCAAAGTCATTCTCCAATGGGCAAAAGTGTGCGGCAAAGAATCCTACGACGTCTGGTACCGGTTGGACTTCTGCCTCGATTCAAAGTTCAGGGATGATTTCAAGGAAGGCGGCAACGTATACAACATCATCATGGACTTTATCCTCGCAGTCTTCCCCTGGGTCATCACGTGGAACCTCGACATGCGGAAGGTGGAAAAGATTGGGCTTTGTGTTGCCATGAGTCTGGTGCGTTGCTTCAAGTATGCCCCTATAATCCACCGCTGACCTCGGAACAGGGAATGTTTGTCGCGATCGTATCTGCTGTACGCACAGGCTGGAAGGACGAGGGCAACGTGAAGGACGAGTGGTACTTCTGGCGCAACGCTCATTCCAACATTTGGTATTCTTCGGAGATCGTCGGCACCATCATTGTTCAGTGTATACCCGTATTGCGACCTCTCCTCCGGGACATCAAGACTTCCCTTACATCGAAGAAGCTGGCCTCCACCGCAGAAGGAACAAGGCGACGCAGCCGGTACGTCCTTGTCTTGTACTGTTGTCGTCGCAAAACGCTAACATCACACAGAGCTCCATCCCTTTTCGGCTTCGGTTTCGGCCCCGGCCCAACCATCGGCACCAAATCCACGCACAAGGCGCACATCTACTCCGATGGACGAACCACCCTTAACGATACGAAAAGCGAGAGCTCTCCCGATTCTTGGGACACGCAGGGTATCTACCAGAAAAGAGAGTTTGAGTTGACTACCATGGAGGTCAAAGCGCAGAAGGGGAGCGAGATGGTGTAGATGGATGTAAATACGTTGGTCACCTACGGGCGGGTAATAGCTAGGATAGAGAATGGAGACGCTTCGCTGCGATCTATGTATGCGTTTCATGGAGATTTTGAGTGATACGAACGATACGGTTGTTACGGTCCATATGATGATCAGGTAGCGATATTCGAGGGCTGGCTTGGAAGTTACGATGCAGCATCGTTGGTAGTCGCTGAGTTGCGCAAGTCTTGCGCTCGATCGTTTGGCGCTTTTCGCCTTTTTTCTTTGTACATATTTGAGATGGGATCTGAACTACCTGTATCGTAGTTTGGTAGCTTCAATGAACCAGAAATAGCATTTCGTAATGTTCTGGAAGAATGCATCAACCCTCCCTGGATATCAACCCGCTCCTCTCTTCGCCATATCTCTCCATCCCATTCCGTCTCAACCCACGCGCAAATCCCACCATCATCTAATACTTCTAACCAGCTCCCTAAGATCGCCACCTTCAACCCACTTCTCCTCCCCTCCACCGCCAACACCCAATCCACCACCACCTCCTCCACTAACACCCCACCCTTCTCCTACGTCGCCCACCACCCTCGCCGGCTGACCGCCCACCACAGACCCCGACGCAATGACCATGTTCGCTGGTACAACCGTATGTGGTAATATCTTGACGTTTTCCTTAATGATAGCAAAAGGACCGATGTTGCAGTGATGCCCGATGTGCACATGAGAAGAAATGGAGATAGCCTGAACAGTCGAGTTTGGTCCTGCCATCATTAGGTTAGTATAACACAACGTACATCATACCCAGACGTCTCGCATGACAGTCCTCGAAAGCAGACATCAGAATCCGAACAAAACGTACCAACAAAAACATTATCCCCAATCTTCATCGGATAATAATGCACCTGGCCCCTACTGATCCTGCTCGGCGGTTTAATCACGCCTCCCTGGCTGATGACCGTACAGCGCCCTATGCTGATGCTCGTCGGCGTCACGTCCTTACCAGACGAAGAAGGTGCCGAGCGTGTGGGGTGCAGGTCGCCGCGCAGTTGCACGTCGGCCATGATGACGGTGCGCCCGCCGAGCGTGATGTTGGCAGTACCGGTGATCGCGCTGCGGCGGGAGACTTTGTTGCCGGAATCCTGGGGGTGGTGTTAGTGGGGAGGGTCCATGGTTTGGGGTTTTGATGGTGTTATGACATGGCAAGGATGTGGTAATGGGGTGCGCAAGATATGGATAATGTTTTTCTGGTGTTTTGTTGATGCGGAAGGGGAGGAGAGACATACGGTCTCGATGTATTCCCCCTTAGGAGCGGCCTTACGCGCTGCTGGGCGCGACATCCTGACAACCGATATGCTTCTTATTCTCTGCTATGCTTTCTGTGAATCGAGTGTGATGATAAATAGGCTATGTGTTGAAACAGAGACGCGAATGTGGTTGACGTGAAAGAGCGATCTGTAGCGGAAGGTGTACGCGACCCAAGCTCCGAATCTAGCCAATCAACGCGTCGCAGCTAGCTCTTCGCGTACGCATGGCAGGTAGTCGCGAATGACAGCCCTTACACCTCGTTTTTCTGCCCACGGAGAATTCGTAAACGAAGGATAGTGAAGGCTGCGGGTTCGGAGGGCTGAGAGTACCGTAGAGCTTTGTAGCCGACACATACTGAAGTCTCTTGCACAGCAAGGCCATGCTATCCACACCTAGCAAGTACCGCGCTCTCACAGTATACACCACAAACACACTTCATATCGCATACCAGGCTCCAATTTCCATCCACATATTCCCACTCCACACTCACCAATCGCAACCTCACCCTCAGCCTCACCCCCATCTCACATCATCGGCCCTACCACCCCCAACACCATCGCTCAACACACTCAAAACGTAACACATCCCAAGACCGGCCTCTCACCCCAATCAATCCCCCATCCTCTCAATCCAGGAACAGCAACACTCCCCCGATCCCTCCTTCCCCAGCCCACCCTGACCCTGACCCTGCCCACTATCCTTGACTGACCCTGTACCCTGCGCCGTCCCTCCATGTCATGTCCGCGCTATTCCCATGCGCATACCCAATCCCATGATCACTCCGGAGTTACCTCCGACACCGTACACGTTTTCTTGCGGCTGGCGCACCGGCTGCATCGCCGCCAATGGTGCCGGCCGTGTTCCATGTCATCCGAGCGCATCCGGGTGGTTGATGGAGACTCGCACGCTCGTATGTACACGTGGTGTGTGGTTGCATTTGGGTTAGTGCATTAGTGCTTCGATCTGCGTACGAGTGGTTTTACGCGTAGGAGCTTGGCGAGGGCGGCGGCGGCGCTGCGTGGTGTGTTTGGGTTAGAGGAGTGAGGCTGTGAGGCTTAGTGTAGCTTGGGCTGGGCACTGGGGTAGTGTGAGCATCGAGGTGTTGGTCATCGGGATGGCGGATTGGTTGAGGGGGGGAGGGGGTTGTATGGTGTAGTCTACCGTGGAGATGTGCGCGGAGATGAGGACATGTCCAAGTCACGCAATACGTCTTTTGGTAGCTAGATTCCATTTCGCTGAAGAGTCCAGATCTTGATCTTGCTCAGGTGGCTTTTGGCTATCTTTAGGTTCAAAACGGCGTCGCCGCTGCTTGGTTCGAGAACAACGCCGCAGTGGTAAGCCACCCGCTAAGATGGTGACACAGCACAACGAGCGAATCAAAATGCTTGGTGAACCTGAGTTTCGTGTAGGGGTTGCACCGGAGAAGGCGGTTGAAGTATCAGCGGCATATCGCGGAGTCACAAGGCATAATGGAGTTTGGGGTGGTAGATTTTTCATTCGTGATGCAGGTATGCCCTAGCTGCGTGATCAAAATTGACTTTTTGACCCATTGTCCCATTTGCGCCGCCCATACCCTATACCCAGGTTGTCGTAAAGGATTGTTCGTAGTATCATCTTACTCTGCTCGTGTTACAGCCACCGCCGGGTCAGACACGATTGCTCACCAGCAACGTGCCTCGATACGTAGCGCCATGTGTACAAATTCCTAATAAAACCCGAAAAATCAAGATGAGAAGGAACGCCCTGCGTCCTGTCCCCAACGCCTGAAATGACAAAAACAGAAGTAGTACTGGCAGCGATGTCGTCAAAGGTGAGTAGACGGATGGTGACTGCACGTATCTCTGGAACCACCCACACCGGAATGATGGGTAAAAAAAAAATCCATTATTCCGGTGTGGGTGGTTCAGAGATACGTGCAGTCCACACCGGAATAATATGTACCTGGAAGACGGGGGTGCTCTAGCTGTCGCTAAGCGACCGAAGCAGTGCTTCTGATCCAGATCAACGAAGCAAGCTGTACAAGAAGGCCCATCAATGAATGAGGGTGCGGTCGTTGTTTGAGAATGTCGTAACCTGATGGAAAATGTGTGTAAAAAAGGGTATCCGAGAGGCACACACGGTGCAGTAGGCATATCGACAGCCGAAGAAGTCTAGTACTGTACAAGCTCGAAGAAGGCAGATGATTACTGGATATGAAGCGAGTTTTCTGCTCGCTGACTGATGTGCTGGGCATGCGCCTCGAGTGCACGAGCTTGGACATGGGTTACTATTGTCATATTAGCAGATGTTGTATAGGTTTTGAGCAGGCAGACTCACCAGGCCATACAGCGGCCTTTGACAGCATGTAAGCCGTCACCATCAGCAACTTGGTTCCGTAACCGCAATGCCCGAGGTTGGAAAGACTACCCAGCATCGGTAGGTTGTTGGACGATATGTCGTAAGCCAGCTTCATATCAGCATGGTGGAGGATATCAGAGATCTTCTGTAGCAGCTTAATGTCTTCCTCCTCAAGAAGTACAACAGCTGGCACTCCCGCAAAATCAATCTCATCTCTACCGAGCACGCCCATATGACGACCAACACGGTCTTGCACAGTTGCAACCCATTCAGCAAGGACCTGAGCGCAATCGAAAGTGCACAACGCGGATGAGTTGGGAAGCTCCCGAGCCGTGAAGTCAGCGTACGAGGCACCCAGTTTGTCTGCCATGGAAAGGGAGTCAGCAGCGTAGAAAGCGGCCTTTCGGAGATGCCTTTCGCGTTTGGACGACTGAGAGTTGGAGAAACCGTTTGCCGCATTTCCGGGACTGACGTGGTCCTGTGAGCCCATTTGGCCTGGAGAACCTGAGTTGAGATCCATCGATGCAAACCTCTCAGGGGTCCCGTCTGCTTGGCCGACGATGTCAATGCCTCTGGCGAGTTCGTTCGCCATGCCGTCAAAATCGCGCTGCCACAAGAGCTCCTTCGCGCGACCAAGGTTGACAAAGAGCCTGACATAGGCCAAGTCTAGTAATGGGATACAGTCGGCGGAAAGAGGACCAAAGGGACTGGGGCGCTCAATACTGTGGTTCGGGTTGGCTCTCCACGCGACTTGCCAGGCCTTGAGAGCGGGCTCCACCTGGGCATGCATGGCCTCTGTCTCTTGGGCCTTCCACAAGCGACCGTTGTGTCTGTTCCGCGTTTCCCAAATGTAAACGTGCATAGCATTGATCAGCACATAGCAACCGAATGTGCTGGGCCGGATGTCGCTCTCAGAGGGTCCGTTCATTGGCTGCCCGCCTGCAAATGCCTGGGGGTAGGAGTTTCGCATCCGTGAGGTGGTATTCCGTGAACTGGCTTCGAGAAGGTATGTCATGGCCGAGATGAAAGACAAACCGCGTTGCTGAGCGATCATTGGTCCGCCCATAGCCACCCACGTCTGAGGACTGTCAACAGACCAGAGATCCTCTTCGCAGGGTAGGTCTAGATGTATCTCTGAGTTCAGTATGCGTGGAGAATGCGCGTAAGCGGATACAAGCAGACTCGACATGGAGAAGATGGCAAAGTAAGTCCTCTTACGCTCTTCGATCTTCTTCCACTGAATCCACTGAGCGTGCTCGTCCACACTATCTGCATGTTGGCCAAACTGCGAGCTCGATTCGTCAGACATATCCACATTGTCGCCATTAGTATGGTTGGGTGGACTGGAAGAAGTCTGCTCTGGAGCGGTTGGCTTA